CTTCATTCCATTCAGCATCAAAAGGTTGGCATGGCGAGTAAGTTGAAGTTTGTTTTTTTTTTTATAAAGAAAATCTTTTGTTTATTTTTTTTTTAATCAGATGTGGTTCTCGTGGTGGTTATTATGAATTAATTAATATTGATAAAGATGTACGAATGCAAGTAAATAAATTAATATCTGCATCATTATGTAGTGCAGCTTGGGGTCAAGCTATGATGGGAGCAATTATAAATCCACCAAAAGAAGGTGAACTATCATATGAATTATATAAAAAAGAACGTTCCGATATTGTTAGTCGATTAAAACAAAAAGCCGATCTTGTTAGTCAATTATTTAATTCTGTTGAAGGTGTACGATGTAATGCTGTCATGGGGTAGAAATGAATTTTCCTTTTTTTTGTTTTTAATTGAAAAACACATGACTTTTATTGTAGTGCTATGTATGCATTTCCACGTATTGAAATACCTGAAAAAGCAATTCAACATGCTAAATCTAAAAATATGGCACCTGATGCATTCTATTGTTTTCAATTTCTTGAAAAAACTGGTGTATGTGTTGTACCTGGTAGTGGTTTTAAACAAAAACCAGGTACCCATCATTTACGTACAACAATTTTACCACCAGTTGATCAGATGAAAGTTATGGTGGAAAAATTTCGAAAATTTCATATGGAATTTTTGCGAGAATGGAAATAAATTTTCGTTTTTGTTTTTAAATAAAATTAAATGCTAAAATAGAATTTATCTAATTCTAGAACAATAAGATTATCAATAAAAATAATATTATGTGGTAGGAATTCTATACTATTTAAAGCCCCGTCCTCAAAAATCGCCCCTGGGTCAGTTATATTCAAATCATATGAGATTTTCAGGATATGTTGGAGACATAGTGGGGAGACTATGGTAAAATTTTCGACCCTATGCCATGATGTTTTCGGGAGATATTCAACAAACAATGGGTAAAAACAGCACTTTTGACAGCCCAAAATTTACTGTAGGCTTTCATTTTATATATGTAGTTCTTTTATTCATCGGAGCATGCTAGACTTCAGTGTCTGACAAAGCCCTGCTTTTTTTTTAACTTTTATTTTTCATGGCCAAATACCATATCTCGAAAAACTCTTAAAAAATGGTCATCTATAGAGATGCATTTTTATATGAAAATAAACAGGTTTCATTCAATAAACGAGCTCTATCAGTCGTTGCACTGTCAAACAACCAAATAAAAACAATTGACTACAATGAAGCTCTCTGAAGAATTTCCATATGCGAGATCAAAAAAAAACATAAACAGAAGACAAACAGATAAAGATTTCCGGCTTTCTTTTATTATGGAAAAGAACATATTTTTCAAGCAGAACGTGATGGAAATCGTAAAAAGCTTTTGGAAAAAAAACAACATGTCAAATAAAAAATCATATTGTTTGTGAAAGATCTTATCTCAAGCTATATCCTCATGCATTTATCTTGTTTCTGATTAATCTGATGGAAATGGACTTTTGTTTGAGGAGCTTGATAAAATATTCACTTCTAGTATGATAAATATCTAAGCATCTCTTGTCTCAGTTAAATGTAGTTTTTTTTAATGTGTTTGTTATTATATGAAGAAAAGTATGTATTCGAATGATTGAGATGTTAAAAACATTTTCCCTGAGTTTTCGAAATGTTTGATTATTTTTTTTTTATGAAAATTTTGTGTAAGTACTTCATCTATTCTTTTTATTTTTCTATAATATATATCTTTACACACTACATTAATAAATATTCCCAGCTATTTGTTTCACTCTATACTATCTCAATAAAAAGATTATAATTATTCATTTTGTGTTATTTAACTAATGAAGGAACCTCTACAGGAGTGAAATCGATTTTCGATTTCGTCATTTTTAGTGTTTTCTTTCTGGAGATGTAAATATATGAACAAAATTTTACTTTTACATATGAGAGAATTTTGAATATCTCAGAACAGTAGATACTAGAAAAGTTATAACTTGCCCAATGAACTAATCTCATTGAGAAGTTTGTTCATGCAAAGTTTGAAGTTGAAAATGTGACCTGAAGGCGATCTCAGTAAAATTTCGATATCTCGAAAATGAAGGCTCAGAAAACTGGAACATTATAGACTTTCCTATTACTAAGTAATACTCATAAAATGAAAGTTGTCCGGTCGAAAAGCGATTTTACATACGAAGAAATTGTTTTATAGGTGAAAAATCGAAATGTTTGTAATAGTGTCTAATTTTATATCTTCAGTTTTTCATTTAATCGATCCATTTCATTATAATATGAAACCAAACATATACAAATAAAAAACATGAGGAATATTGTTTCATACACCAAAGATGAGTTTAATAAATACTCCAAAAATTAATTTACTATATAGACTATTCTAAGAATCGTTATTTAATGAAATAAGATTATATTTTGCAAACAAACAAATAGAGTTCAATTAAATTGCACACATAATAATAAAATTAGAAAAAAATAGTTTCATGATTGAATGTAATTTATTGGGAAATATTTATTATGAAATAATACAATGAGAAAGATGTCCTTATATAATTGCTTTTATCGACATATTTTAATATTGAATAGATTATGGACCAATAGTTAAATATATATAATATTAAGTATATTTTTCTAACATAAATATTGCGATTTTAATTAAAAACTAAAAAATATCTATATAAGATATTGTTTAACAAATACGTGTCATTTTTTTTGTTTACAAATGGTGAATTCTTCTTCCATCAAGTATTGTGAGAAGCGAACTTAAAGATAAAAAGTTTTATTATATATTTACTTAAGGAAGACAAAAAAAGACAACACTACGCATGTGTTATATATCAATCGTAAAATAAATTTTTTTCAAAATTAAATGATACCTTCAATAATCCGAAAATCATCTGTGATCTTTATTCGAACATATACGAAATATATATCATTCCGAAAGCATCCAAAATTATTCTATTCCCGAAACAGTAGTTCTAGTAAGTATTTCTAAATACAAATTTGAAACATACATGAAATAATTGTGATTATAAAACGTATTAAATATAAAATATTACCCTCGACATCTAGCGACATTAAAATAACAAGTCGCTAGCTATTGACGGTATTGATAGAAGAATTATCTATGAAGAAAAAGTAAATACAATGTCAATATGCAATAGAATGAGTCATTTTCAAACTATCGGAACTTTTTTTTTCTGCTATGTCATGATGAGAAAGAGTTTCCTTGAGCAAATAAGGATGTGAATAAAAATATATGGTATCCATATGAGTGTTGTGTGATGTGGGACATAGATTTTTTTTCTAAGAGGATTGTTTTGCATCGTCATTGTTGTTATAAAATGTTTTTTTTTCCTGTTGTTCTTATCGTTATATACATATATATATGCAGTATTCTATTCTTTTTTTGCTTTAAATTTAAAATAAAAAAAAGGAAAAAACGATCAATAAAAAACATTTCGTATACAAAAATTACAACAACGACAGTTAATACTTCTGATCTGATTGTGGAAGTTTGCATCTGTTCTATTTGGTTCGACAGTATAATTGTATGTAAGATTCATTATAGTTAGTGAAATAGTTCATTTTTTTCTTATAAAAGTTAAAAAAAAAAAATCTTTTCTATTAATCATTTAAATTCATTATTTCTCAAAGTACATTCACCTTTATATTATATATCAGCAAATAGATAAAGTGAAGTACCTTATCGATGTGTTGTTCGTTCTATCGATGTCGGTTGGAGTGCAAAAGGGGGAGAGAGAGCTCTTCTCATATTTCATGCTATCATTATCAAAAACTGTCTGATAAAGTCAAGTAAACATTTTTGCATCTTGTTTTCTGCAAAACGATCTGCGGAAATTTTTACTCATTTTACTTTCCTATAAAGCATCGACAGTTATAGTTCTTTCACGGTATATCGAAAGATACAAAGCGTTGAGATAATGATCATATGAATAATTATTTCTTAGTCACTCTATGATTGAAAAGAAAATAAAAAGATGGTAAAATGATCGTAATTTCAAATTCTCTTTTTTTTGCTATCACGCTTCTATCGATAAGAAATGAAAAGATAATAAACATACAGCTAAACTAAAATCTATACATTAACATATCATCTTTCTTTTTTTTTTTGTTGTTATATTATAGCATCTATTATGTTAAAAAGTGCAAGACAAGTTGTACCATTTAATAAAGTACAAGGTGTAGCTTCAACAAATGTTCATGCATATTCAAATGGTGATGATGATTTTTTTTCTGTTGAACGTCATTATTTACATGGAATATTTATGGGTTTTAAATGGCAATGTGTTGAATTTTCACGTCGATGGTTATTAATGCGTAAAAGTTGTATATTTCAACCGGTAGGACATGCTGCTGATATGTGGCATGATTTAAAATTTGTTGAACGTGTTACTGATGGTAAAAAATTTCCTTTAAAATTATTTCCAAATGGTTCATCACATAAACCAAAACGTGATTCATTATTAATTTATTCACGTAGTACAGAATTACCATTTGGTCATGTTGCAGTTATATGTGATATTGTACCTAATTTTATTCGTATAGCTGAACAAAATTTTATTTATCATAGTTGGTCAGATAATTATGCACGTGAAATTCCTATTGTTATTAAAGATAATTGTTATTTTCTTGAAGATGAAGATGAAATATGTGGATGGATTGAAATTGAAGATAATGATGAATTACAACCATTAGATGAAACAAAACTTGATTCAATATTAAAAAAATATCAAGAAGCTAAACCTATAGGTACATTAAAACGTTGTTCAATAACAGATAAAACTTTTCATTCAATGAATAATTGGTTGAATAAAGATGATCCAGCAGAAAAATATTTCATGGATTTATTTGGTGCAAATTTAATACGTGCTGATACAGATACATTACCTTATTATAAAGTTGATCAAGATTTAACATTATCTATAGGTAGTACATCAAATGAATTACATGAAATGTTTATGGATGCAACAAATTATGTTATTCAAAATGATGATATATTAAAAAATTTTTGTATACCAGAAATTTTTTGGCCTAAAATTCGTGAATCATGGTTACATGAAAGAGATTTAGCAATGACTGGACGTTTTGATTTAGCATTTGATGGTCAACAATTAAAAACATTTGAATATAATGCTGATAGTGCATCAGCATTATTTGAAATGGCAATTATACAAGAAAAATGGGCACAAGCTGTTAAACTTAATCATACATTTATGTCTTCATTTCAATTACATCGTTTATTAGTTAAAAGTTGGAAAAAAATTTGTTCTAATTTAAATATAAATTATGTTCATTTATTAATTGATAATGATAAAGATGAAATTTTAACAGCACTTTATATGCAAAATGTTTTAAAAAATGCAAATATTGAATCAAAACTATGTATTTTATTTAATAATTTATATTGGAAAGATTCAAAAATAATTGATAATGATGGTAATGAAGTTAAATTAATATGGAAAACATGGATGTGGGAAACTATTTTTAGTGATTATTTACAAGCTGAACAAAATGGAAATTTAAATAGAAAAATTAATAATGAACATCCACGTTTATGTGAAATTGTATTAAATGATCATATAAAAGTTATTGAACCATTATGGAAAGTAATACCAAGTAATAAAGCCATATTACCTATTTTATGGTCAATGTTTCCTAATCATCCACATTTATTATGCACTGAATGGACATTAACAGATAATTTAAAACAACGTGGTTATGTTAAAAAACCTATTGTTGGTCGTTGTGGACATAATGTTACTTTATTTAATGCTAGTGGAGATTCTGTTCTTGATGAAACACAAGGAAAATTTATTGATAGAAATATAATCTATCAAGAATTATTTTTATTACCAAAATATGAAGATTATTATGCTATAATTGGTAGTTGGATTGTACATGGACTATTTGCAGGATTTGGTATACGAGAAGATAAAAAATTAATAACAGATGCTGAGAGCCCTGTAACAGCTTGTTCAGTAGTATGGAAATAAAAATAAACCAGATTATTATTTAGTATTCCTTTGTTTTTTGTAATAGTTTCACAAAATGGTTGAAAAAAGAATGTTCCATTTTTTGTCTTTCTTTATAGTTGTTTTTTTGTTCTATGTTAACATGTCAAATATATGATAAACTATCCGTACAAATACAAAACAAATGAATCATCAAATCTAACTCGATGTTTCAGCTATTGGTGAAGATGAAGATGTTCGGAATGTTTCATTATCATTGAAAAGTGTATTCATAGTAATCAAAGAATTAGTTTCATTAAGTAATAATTCGATAATTTGAACAGATATATCATCGACTATTAAAATGGTTGTGTTATGTGTTAAAGATGACGATGACATTGACGAAAATTTAGTATTTTTTCTAAAAAAATAAATACACGGAAATATTTATTCAAATATAATTATTTTATTCATATATATTTGAGCAAACAAAATACAGCAAGCCTCAAGTTTTGGATGTGTAAGAGATGAGATGAAAAAAAAATCTCTATAACAGAGGTTATTTTGAAAAGTTTCGAAAGACTTTTTTGTTTTGTTTTATACCTGACTATGCATGGAACTATCCAGTGAATAAGACTAAATGATATTTTCGAAATAGGGATGTATCAATATCTGAATTTCATATCTCAAAGATTGCATTTGTGTGATACTTCAAACGCTTTTTGTTTTCAGTTACAAGACTTCAAGCAAGATGAGTTTTGTTTTAATTGGTCTATATTATGTTATTGCCGAAGTTGATGAAATATGATAATAACATCTTGATGAGCGATAAAAACTAAGCAAGTTCCACTTGAAGACTTGGCTAAAATCAACCGATCGAAGTATCGCAAAAATACGATCCATAATGTGAAAATTCAGATATTATTGCATTGCTACTCCTGAAAAACAAAACATAAACGTAATTTATGATGAATTTTCATACAGAGCATTTACTTATGATATGTAACTTTATTAGGATATTGATATTTATTCAATCTACATATAGTATCATCAAAATGTCGTTGTTGAGTCAATTCATTTGTACCAAATAGCTATTGCTATAATTATACTATCTAATTGACCTACTAAATCCGAGTTATATAATCAATTCAAATGAAAATATTTTCCAGTATCCTAATAATTAGATGGATAATCTAATCGTAATAGGTCACAGTCATAATATATTTCATATTTAGATGACTCTTTAGATTAAACATCATGATAGTGAATATTTTTTAGAAGCTGAAATGGAATTAAATAAAATCAATTGAGATATAATTATTTTTATCTTGTTGAATACTACATTATTCAGCTAAAGCTTTTAGATTACGAGGTTCGTACGAAACATGAAAAAGTCAAAATAGTTACTACAACGGTATTTATTAGTTTCCATTTTATTTCTATCATAGAATCTGCACGATCTTAAGAACGACGAGTACAGTGATTAATATTAATGTTTGAAGAAAAACATTGAAGTATATCTGATGACATGTTACTGCTATTATGATTTTAATAAGATCGAGCTTTACAACAATCTGATTGACAATCTTTATCACAAAAGCTCTATTTTAACTACACACAAAATTCACAAAAAGTGATTAGTCAATTGTAGACACTTTCTGAGAGTATGCTTGGAGTCTATTTCATAACGACTCACTACAATTGACTAAGAGAATACTGTAATACTTCGGATTACTCTATATTATACAAAGGTCGAACTTTTTGTGAGTGCAGAATAGATATCGGTTTTTACCATGCCTGATTTTTTTCATGGTGTATCTCTTACGAACCATTATTTAGAGAAATTTGATACAAATCTTTTTCACCTTGATTCTGATTTTCTATTATAACGAGATTAGTACGCGATTCTTTTCTCTATTGACATTGTTTTTGCATTTTACAAAAAAAACAACAATAATATTTTCAGTACTCTATATAAAGACTGTTTCTCAATTTTGAAAGCCCAATGATATCAAAATGAAGTATCTTTTAGTTCTTATCGTAAGTTTTCTCGTGCTGTCGTGCAATGCCAATGTGATAAATCGTAATGAAGAGACAATTCAAGCTCCAGCAATGGGCGTACCAAATTTGTTCAATTTACCCAATATATCAAAGAACAATCGAACAGACATTAATTTAGTTGAAGGCGATATTGCGATACCAGCAGATAAAAATCGAATCGCGTTTACTCAACATGGACCATGGCCTAATGGTATTGTACCTTATGAACTTCATGGTTATTTTTCGGCTAGTCACAAGACCATGATCACCAATGGAATGAAGAAGATCAGTGAATTAACAAACAATTGTATTCGATTCGTCGATCGGGGTAGTAATCGAGTCTGGTTAAATATTTATCCTGGTCAAGGGTAAGTCAATGTACATTTCTTTTTTTTATTGAATCATGTAAGCTGAGTGGATCATAAATGTATACTTTGACTATAGATGTTGGTCGTATATGGGTAAAACTAAAACCAGTGGTGCACAAGATTTTTCACTAGAATTACCCGGATGCATTGACCGAGGCGTGATATTACACGAAATTCTGCATGCACTTGGTTTTGCCCATGAGCAAACTCGCCCAGACAGAGACCATTACGTCAGAATTAATCGTCAAAACATTTTGTCTGGTACTTACAAATAAACTAATTTTATAATCAGGATTGTATGTGTTTATTTTTTAAGGACAAGAGCACAATTTCGATCGCTATACTGCTAGCCAAGTTAATATGTTTGGAACAGCTTACGATTATGGTGAGATTATTTCTGATCGATCATATATTTAGAATCACTTTCATTCTACTTTTTAATACTATAGCATCGATTATGCACTATCGAACTGATGCATTTTCACGCAATGGTCAACCAACCATTCAGGCAATTTATCCTGGTTACGAGGGCTGGGATGCACAAATGGGACGTGGCAGTGATTTGAGCGCTCAAGATTTGGTGAAATTGAAAAAGTACTACAACTGCCCATAACTACGGATAATAGCCATTTGAATTATAATTGAAATCAGTTGACTAGTAATAATAAAAAGCACTTCAACTGTTCACTCAAGAATCTAAGACTCGATTTTTCAATTCGAGCAAATCAGTTTAAAAACTATAATGATAAAAAGTATTCAACTCGTTGTGTATCACTTCGAGACTAACTCATACGAATCTGGAAAAAACTTTGATGCATACTTGAAATAAGGGTCATCTTAAAACGATAAATAATACATCAAAAGACAGTACGAGAAAATGAAGAGGGACGGTATACTTCTGATGTATCTGGCATTGTCTTCGATCATGATCTTTTTTTTATTTCGTTATCCAATGTTACACTCGAAAGCGCTTATATAAAAAAGGAGAGTGATATAGATGACTAAGGCTGGAGAAAGAGCGAGCGAGAGAGAGAGAGAGATAAAGAAGAGAGTAAGAAATGGAACCTCAATGTGTGCCGATGAAGTATAACATCTTCAGGAGAAGAGACTCGTGTTATTTCAACATTCTAGCTACATAATCAAGACGGAAGATATAATCCATGTGATCAGCGACTGTCTATAGAAGTCATCCAAGAAGCAAACATCGTTATACAAGAGAGACGAGTCGAGGTCACAGGCATGCATGTTTCTCGATCTTTTTTGTAGATGTCAGTTGACATATAGATTCAGCAGATCTTCATGAGTAACATTGTACAGATTACGAGCCTAAAGAAGAAGGAAGCAGTTGCGCATCAACTTGAAAGCGACACGAAGTTTCTGTTGTCGTAGATTTTGCTGAGTTTTTGACAGAAAGAAATAAAATGGAAATAGCCATGCAAGATGTGAAAAAATAAAGGCAATGAAATATAGTTACATCACTGCTTGGAATACAATTCTTCCACTCGGTAGTCAAAGACCTTTGAATGTTTTCTACATATTTATCAATTGTCGATCATGGTCATTGGCAGATCGGTATCGATACGTTGTGCGCGACTCGTGATTTTCATGAGAATATCGTTACCAGACGGAAACTAATTATGTCTCTAGAATTATGAGGAAATTGAGGTCATTTAGGATATTTATCTATGATGGGTTGTCTCAGTTCTCTTTTGTCAAATATGGTAGAATTGGTTATTCGACGTGCTTCATACACCTCATTGAAAAGAACCATAGAGAACAATGATCACATGTTTTTGATCTGTTGAATGTCTCATTTTGTCAAAATAGGTCATCGATCATGGTTCGCCGTGATGACGTCATTGGCCATGCTTGAGATCTCGTTCCTGATTGAACAGAACTATGTACATACAAAAAAAACACACCATTGCATAAAATTCATTCAGCCTTCTTTGTCATCATAGTTTAACTGATGTCAACTAAAACTATTAAAAGAAATTACAATATAAGTAAAAGGATAATAATATCTCTATATTTCAGATCGTTTTAAATCTAATCCTTCCGAAATCATTGTTGTTTCAGATCTTTTTAACAGTATCTAAGAAAATTACACAATAAACCTCGAAAATTTTAGAAGAAAATTGATTTTATCTGAATCGGAAAATATTACAAGATATGAGATATCCAATAGAGGTCACTGGTCATCAAAATTGAATGAAAGTAAAATGTTGACATTTAAAAAATTTACATGATTAATAAATTGATTTTTGCTCGACTATGGTCTCTTTTTTATATTGTTCAAAGATATCTGGATATAATTATCATAATCCTGTTGGTCATTGCCAAGCAATAGTTCATAAAAAATGGTTGTCAACATACTTACCTGTAGCAAGAAACAGTCTATTAGTGTTTTTCACTTATCGTTCTCGTCATCATAAACTAAACGATCGTTTACAATGACAACTACTACTAATGCTCAGCCTGAACGACTTGATACATTACAAAGACTTGAACTTGAATCAACTATTGGATTTGATGGTTAATATATTTATAATAGAATTTTCTGATCAATATTATTTTATATTTTGATAATTTAGGACAAGTTCCTCATGGTCTTAAATTACATCCCGATCGTATTCATATGATATATCCATTAGGATGTAATTTAGTTATTGAAAATTTACAAACACGACAACAAGAATTTCTTCTTGGACATAATAATAATGTTTCTTGTTTAACTATTTCAAATAATGGCAAATATATTGCTTCAGGTCAATTAACATTTATGGGTTTTAAAGTAATATAAAATAAAAAAAATTTTTTTTTTTGATCAAATCAATTTATCATAGAAAAATCTTTTCTTTAGGCCGATATTATCGTTTGGGATTATTCAAATCGTGATCCATATGCTCGTCTTGTTTTACATAAAGTCAAAATTGAAGATTTAGTTTTTACTGCATCAGATCGTTATCTTATATCATTAGGTGGACAAGATGATGGTGCTATCATCGTCTGGAATATTGAAACTAAAGAACCTGTTTGTGGTAGTCCAGCTCAACATAAAAGTGCTGGTATTACATACTGTTTAGCTGCATCAAAAGAAGATGAATATCAATTTTTTAGTGCTGGAAAGTAAGTAACGATACGAATCATTATATTTTTTCAAATATAAATTTTAAAAAACTTTAGTGGTACACTTCGATTCTGGCAATTAGATGTGCCTAATCGAAAAATTCGACCAACGGATATTAATACAGGTGTTGTTAAACGAATTGTTAAATGTATGACTGTAAGTAAATGAAAAAACTTTAGATTAAAAGAAAAAGAATATTCTATATATACATAAAGGTTTCACCTGATGGTGTCAATCTTTATTGTGGAACGACAACAGGTGATATTCTTATGATTTATATTCCGGCTACACAATTTAAAACAATTGGACCTGAAAAGAAAAAATATTCCATGGGTATTACAGCTATGCAAGCATTAATTAATGGTGATGTTTTAATTGGTACAGGTGAAGGAAAAGTTCATATTACAGAAAAGGAAACATTTAAATCATTAAAGTATTATTATACAAGAACTTATTCATAGATCTCTAGTTCACTTTTTCTTTTTTTTTTTTTATTTATTTATTTAGATCTTTACAAGCTCTTGGTGAAGTTACTTCATTAGCATTGAGAGGCGAAGGACATATGGTATAATAAATTTCTAATTATCTATTTTAAAATACAATAGAAAATATCGAAGCTTAGATCTCGAGAGAAACAACAGATACAATTTTTATTTTTCGAATAGAAACATTGGTTACACACTAATAGCATTCATATTGTAACTTTAAGTATTATGCTAATTCTTTATAAGTCTAGCGAGAAATTTTAAAATGATGATATAAGAGAAAAGTTTGGCTACTGTGTATATTAAATAATTTTCTTTGATATTTGCTTATACTCGTTCGTTACTCTCGAGATTATCTTTAATATGGAATAGTCGCAAAAAGTTCTGTTACCGGGTAAAACGTATATAGACTTCAATCTTTTTACCTGATATTTTGACTACCAGTGAAGTTTGTTAAATCATGATCGTAAGCAACAATCCGAGATCGACAGATCTTAGTACAAAGGATTTACGATGAAGACAGTGTTTTTTTTCTCTCCAGGGCTCAAAAATAGCTATTTTGATACTTTTTTAGTTTTCCACTACTTAAATGTGTTAACTTTCATTTTGTTATTAATAAATAAAAATTCCCATGCCTGTTTTGTGTCACAGCGAGCGTACTCCGATCGATTGTAGTCGTGAGGTATGAGGAAGCCTTCTTTGTCTGGGATGATTTCAGTATTGATCGCTGCGATCGTGAAATTTTCAAAGCTAATGGTTAAAATTAGCTGAAGATATCGATCACTTTTCGATGGTTTCCATCAACTTTCGTGTAGAGATAATTCAAAGAACACTTCATAAATTAGACAAACTAAAAATAGTTTGACATGGAATTTTTATGGATGATTGGGGCAACACTAAGCTGTCGAATGAAGCGTCTCACATCATAAGATTTGTTTTCTATATTGAGATAGCCTTGTCTGAAGAAACATACTCTATTGTTGATTAAACTATGAGACTAAAGGATTAAAGTTTAGGCATTTTTTTTGTGCGACTATTCTATGTCTTCAGAAACGTATTTTTCTATAGATTTTTATTGGTACAAATCGATCACATATATATAAAGTAAATTATGCTGATTGGAAAATGGAATTAATCAATACATGTCATAATTCTCCAATACAAGATATTGCATTTCCATTGTAAATTGAAATAAAAAGAAGATTCATCAATTTGAATTAAAACTTTTTTTTTTTGTTTTATAGTGGAACTTCTGAATTATTCGGTACATGTAGTTATCAAGAAATTCGGTAAGAAAGAAAACCATATATATATATATATATATATACATAATAAAATTTTCTTTTGCTTTATTTAGTATATGGCATGCACCAACTGGTAATGAATTATTACGTATTTCGCAAGCAAATAAAACATGTAATTCAATTTGTTTTACTCGTGATGGTAAAATGATTGTTAGGTATGAATGGGATAAAAAAAAATATTTAATTTATTTTTTCTTCAGAAATGCAAAATTTCTTTGATATTGTTTTTTTTTGTCTAGTGGATGGGATGATGGTCGTATTCGTGCATTTTATCCTGAATCTGGTCGTGAAATGTTTACAATCAATGATGCACACCATCGTGGTGTTACAGCAGTTGCTGTAACAAATGATTGTCGTCGTATAGTTAGTGGCGGTGGTGAAGGAATGATTCGAGTTTGGCAAATAAATGCAAATTCACAAGAACTTTTAGCAACAATGAAAGAACATAAAAATGCTGTTGTTTCAATTCGTATTAATAAATCAGATACAGAATGTGTTACAGCATCACTTGATGGTACTTGTATTATTTGGAATTTAAAGTAAGAAAGAAAGCAAAAAAAAAAAATCAATGAACTATTCAATATAAAAAAAAAGAAATTCTCTTGTCTTATTTTAAGACGTTTTGCACGTAATCAAGTTTTATTTGAAAATACACTTTTTCAATGTGTTGCTTATCATCCTGAAGAATATCATATAATAACAGGTGGTACAGATAGAAAAATAGCCTATTGGGAAGCAACAAATGGTGCACAAATACGTGAATTAGAAGCATCAAAAAGTGGAACAATTAATGGACTTGATATTGATAGTGTTGGTAATTATTTTGTTACAGTTAGTGCCGATAAATTAGTGAAAGTATGAATGCTCGTAGTTTTTTTTTTTGTTAAGTAAAACAAACTTTATTTTTTTTTTAATTTAGTTATGGCGTTATAATGAAGGTGACGTACATAGTGTTGGTATTGGTCATGGTAGTGAAGTGAAAAAAGTTAAAATTTGTCCAAATACTCAACATATTATATCTGTTAGTGCTGATGGAAGTATTTTTCGATGGAAATTTCCCAAAACAGCTGTTTAAGAAATTTAAAAAATAAATAAAAACTTCAAGAATAATTTATACTGACATCTCTCTCTCTCTCTGTCTCTCTCTTTTTTATTCTATAAATGTATATGAACAAAGAAAAAAAAAAAAAAAACATAAATCAATAATGATATTAGTTTATCTAAGTTATAACATCAACACGCATTTTTCGTTTTCGATTTCGTTTTCGTAATGATCCAATACCCAATAAACGACAAATAATATTAATAAGTAGAAAACATGCAGCTAGAAGTCCAAAACCCTAGAATAGATTTGAATTTACTAGAGAAAAAAAAAAGAAAGAAAGAACAATGATTACTAACTGCAGCTGCACCAGCTGCACCGGTTTGTGCTTTACGATAACCATTTGGTGTTGATTGATAAGAATTTGATGTATAAAGAGAACCAAATACAGTTGATAATTTTACTTCCCAAAAAATTGCAGCAATTGATATGGCAAGAACAAGAAGAAAGAATAGAATAAAAATGATAGCAACCTAAATAAAATTTATCATATAATAAAAAGAAAACGTTCGTGGATCGAAACTGCCTTTAATTGTAAGTACAAATTCGAGATTATTAATAAATCAAGTAAAGAAATTATGTGTTCACTTCCTAACTACAAATTTCGCGATATTCAAGTATCTCGACTTTTGAGAAAAGTAATATTTCTTATTAGTAACTTATAGGTACTAAACATATATAATAGTGTAACTATGTAAACAGTATTGATAAGCAACTTCGAATTTCTTAAAAACGTGTATTAAGATAGAATCATTTTTTTTTTAATCTTATAACTCCTGCTGTTTTTCTTTCTATCACTTCGAACAACAAATACGTTATGTGTCTTATTTATAAAAAAAACAGAAATCAAATTATTATACATACTATTCTAGAAGCAATTTTCCAAATTTTTCGTTTACGTAATGCTGCAAATATATGAATTAAAAAAATAATAAAAATAGTAACAAGAGTAAGAATAAAAATAACTATTGTTGCTGTTTTAACTGTATTTGCAGAAAGTGATCTATATGCATCTGGTGACGAACTTTGACTACATTCCACTAATGCTGCAACGTATTGATTTGTTGCATAACCTTGACATATTTCCGAAACCCAATCAGCTTGTTGTGCCCAACCAGTAGATGCAATTAGTGCACAGATCATACCAAAGAAAAGACATATCAATAAACGAAGAAAATAATTAAAATGAGATTTTTTTTTTTTCTAACGAGAAAAAAAAAGTTTATTTTACCATAATAAGAATTTCAAGAATTCCTAATATTGATTTCCAATAATTACGGTCACGACGATAAGCTCTCATTTCTTTCTTTTTTTCAAAATGTGTATTCTTTTCTTTTATAAACTCAAAAAAAATGACCTCCTGCTGAATGAATTTTTTTTTCTTATATTTAAAAGTTGCATTTTCTTTTTTTCTATTCCGGAAAAGAAAAAAAAACTCCTAACAAGTAACTAGACATAATTATTTGCATAGATTAAAACCGGACAAACATTATAACGATAAATTTACTAATTTTCTATCATTAGATATTTTTTTCATTTTCTTAATATTATATAATTATCGACTTTTACTATCACGAATGTATTCAAATCTTGCGTTACTTTTTGAAGTTTAATTTAAAAATTCATAATATTCAAAATGAGTACAAATTTTAATGAGTTGTTTATCCGATCTTCAACCTTGGAAAAATATCATGAATACGTTAAAAAAAAAGTCTATCATTTAAAAAGAAATATGTTCGTGTAGGACAGACATTTTTACAGATTGTTTTTATCTTTATCAGATAAATGTTTATGTTTTATTTGTTGAATGTACAAGACGTTTTCTTAAATATGTATCTTAGAAAATATTCAATTAATCAAAGAAGATTACTTTACTGTACAAAGTTATACTCATGAAGGAAGTCTTCCAACTGATTAATCTGTTTTGAGTCGAGTGTATGTAATTCATCAAGATTCTAATAAAATGCCATGGTTCCTCTCAAAAAAACTCATTTCTAAATTTTGACTTGAAAGTTTGCATAGAGACAGGCCTTACTGTGTGTAGTTTCTTTCAGATCTTTTGATTTGCTTCTTTCCTAAAATAAGAACATCGAATCTGCCGATATATACGAGTAATGTAACAAAACGAACTTTTACCATAGCATTATCTTAGCATAGCAACAACAAAAATATCTGAAACTTTCACCATGAACTATTCTTACTAAGATCTGTGTCTATCTAAAACTTCAAGTTGAAATCGGTTTTTCTGAGACGGACCACAACAGTGACTAAAAAACCCGTCAAAATGCAATATCTCCCAGCATATACGTAGTTCTGATTCAAACACGATTAATCAATTTTGAGAAATTTCTTTCGTCAGTTAAGTTTACAAAAAAAACAACGAGAGAAAATTTTAACACTTCTCGCTTATTTTTTTATGTATTGTCATTTGCTTCACTCGTTAATTTTATTAATTGTATGTGCATGACATTTGATCCTTTGCCTCGATATTATCTTTTTTCTCTCACTTTTTATATACGCACGACATTAAATCAAAACTATTTAAAAATACATCCGTAGATTTTTATTAAAAAACTTTCAAAAAGAAGATTATTTAAACGTTCAAAGTAATATGTGCATCCTTATACGTACTCTGTTTGAAATGTTTTGCTATGAACATTTATCTCAATACTATCTCTTATTAGATATTAATAAAACAAGTTCAATGATGATTTTGAATATGAAATATTATTTAACTTGTTATGCACGTTATTTATCATTGTATTTGAGTTGTCTAAAAACGAGTTTTTTTTTTTTTTAATATTATTACAAGTATGAATGAAAAAAAAAATCATCACGTCATCAATATGATTCAACAATGAATAAAATGCTCTTGAAAAACAAGAACGAAAAAAAAAAAAAAGAACAAATGTGTAAAATCAATGAGGGGGAAAAAAAGGTAATAGTCCTGGAACGTTTTATTTTTATTATCAGCAGATGAAAAACAAAACGAAATTGATTCTTTTTTTCATAGTTCATCATTTTTATACGATATTCACAGCTGTTGATTCATTTCGATTTTCAGCTTTTAATTTTTGAAATGCTTCATATGCAGCTGCTTCTTTTGCTTCTTTTTTCTTATTACGTTTTTCATATTGTAATCTACAAAATTAGAACGACAAAAATTTTTTATGTCAAATATTTAAATAAAATTAACAAACCGATTATCAATAATACGTGTAATAATATCCTGTGTTGTCAATGGATTTCCACTATCGATTTGTTGAAATATACCAAGTTTCTTAGGTACTTCATATGGATCACTTCCATCAACATCAGATTCATAATCTGTTTGACCATGAACAACAAGCGAAACCTATTAAGAAAAAAACAAAAGAACAATTAAATTTTAATTCTTTATTTTTAAATACAAACTTTAAAATGATTAATTAAATCCATTGTTACAGAATAAGGTGCAGCAATAACAACTTCATCAACATACTAATAATAATAAAAAAAAACAAAAGAATAGATTTGTAATTTGATTTTGTTTTTTTTTTTTCATCTATACTCGACAAGCTAAGACACTTAATACACGTTCATGAATATTCATTATTGGATGATTACTTCCTTTATATCGATTTACAACCTATAAATTAAAAAATGATAGTTTGTTTTTTTTTTTTAATATTTTTCTTTTCTTTATTTAGAATTAATTACTCGATCACCATGTAAACCAACAATAAGATAATCACCCAATGCTTTTACTTTTTCAAGAAAATCAACATGACCAACATGAAATAAATCAAAAGCTCCAGCTGTATAAATAACTTTATCTCCAGGCTAAAAGAAATTATTTACATGAATATTTCTTATTCAACACAAACATATTGGAATATCTCATTTAATTATATTTTAAAATAAATATATGATTTACTTTTGGTTCACGACCATTAGAAAATTGTATAATTTTATTAGTTGTTGCTAAAAATTGTGAAGCACCTGTCCATGGACTAACACTTTCTTTACATAAACTCATTCGACGTGTATTCTCTGGATCTGGTAACATATCATCAGGTTCATGATGACTTTTTGTAACTAATAACATTCTAAAATAATTCTAATAGAATAAATAAATAAATAAACAATTCAAACCTTCCAACAAGATCTGTGGTTGATACACCTTGTGTTCGTTTGCATTCTCGATAGCGGCCAGCAGCTTTGACTATATGATATGTATCAACACCATCAGCCGTAACCTTTTAAAAAAAATAAATTGTGAATTATTAACAAGGTAGATAAAAGATTTTCTTTGTCTTACAGTGATATCATCACCATGTACACAAAAAGCACAATTATAGTCTTCTAATGTTTCAAGTGTTGTTACATATGGAGCATTCTCAACAACTTGATCCACCCATTTAATAGCACGAACCATTTTATATCGTTCTTGTTCTGTAAATACTGGTGGACCTTTGTGTTTAGTAATTTCCTCTAAAAAAAATATAATTAGAAAACGATAGATATATATGAAAAATTCAATACAAACCATCAGAGTGAACACCAACAATTAAAGAAGTACCCATTTGTTTTGCTTGTCGACAAGCATTAGCATGACCAAAATGTACCATATCATAACTAATAATAAGAAAATATTTTCTATTCTGTATTTTTTTAATTTCGAATTTCAGTTATAGTTCTGTTGAATCTGATCTAATTCCAAGCTACAGAAAACTATGTTAGAATTTATTGGTTTTAAATCAATATGTTCTTCTTTTTTTTGGTCATTTCTTCTGAATTTTTGCATTGATTGGTATGATTTACTACATAATTCGCTATAAAATTTAACTAAATATTTTCGTTCGATTCGAAGAACTTTTGTTTCATCGTGTCACACAAGGGGGAAACATCGTACTTTTGTACTTTAAAGTACATAAAGTATATGAAGTACAGCGAAGTACCGCAAAGTACAATAAAGTACGGTGAAGTACAATAAAGTACAATAAAGTACGGTGAAGTACAATAAAGTACTTTAAAGTACATTGAAGTACTTTAAAGTACATTAAAGTACATTAAAGTACATTAAAGTACATTAAAGTACTTTAAAGTACATTAAAATACTTTAAAGTACATTAAAGTACTGTAAAGTACCTTGACGTATGTTCAACCACAATGAAGTACAATTAGTGGTGGGCGCTTATCATTATGTTACCAAGTCGCTGGCAATGAAGTAACGACAATTGTGAGACCGTGATCTTTCGGCTAAGGAAGGGTATTTGGAGAAAATAATGGTTTTCTATAAAGGTTGATGAAAGCAAATTGGGGTGGCGGAATCCAAATCTGCTATTAGTATCTCAAAATACCGAAGTGAATCTTTGAGATAAGGAAGGAGTATTTCAGAGAAATAACGGTTCTGCATAAACGTTGACGAAAGTAAATTGGGGTCGGAGAATCCAAGTCTTCAATCGGTTTACCAAAGTTTCGAAGTGGATTTTTCGGCTAAGGAAACAGTATTTCGAGAAAATAACGATATCCTATAAAGGTTGACGAAAGGAAATCGGGGTCGGAGAATCTGAATCTGAAGTCAGTCTCTGAAAATTTTGAATTCCAATTTTTGAGTCAAGGGAAGGGTTTTTCGAGAAAATAAGGATATTTTATAAAGGTTGACGAAAGGAAATCGGGGTCGAAGAATCCGAATCTTGAATTGGTTTATCAAAATTTCGAAGTGGATCTTTGGGCTAAGGAAAGAGTATTTCGAGAAAAAAAACGATATTCTATAAAGGTTGACGAAAGGAAATTGAGGTCGGAGAATCCGAATCTGTCATTAGTTTCTCAAAATACCTAAGTGAATTTTTTGGTCAAGGAAGGGTTATTTAAGGAAAATAACGATTTCCTATAAAGGTTGACGAAAGTAAAGCGGGGTCGAGGAGTTCAAATCTGCAATCGATTTTTCGAAATTGGGAGTTTTTTTTTAGATGAAGAAAGGGATGTTCTGGAAAGATGAGTATCTATGATACGGTGCCGTATTACCTGTTGTGAAAGATAAGTCTTGCTGCTGGGCTTAATTTTAATGTATTATCTAGTAATGATGTGAGTCTATAGGTTGTTACTCCCGTTACTTCTTTAAAATAGTGGTTCCAGTATGAGACACTTTATTAATGCTTTCAGAGTGGAAGGCTCATTAGCGATACGCTTCGTTGACATGGATAGTATATTCGAATTCCAGAAATCCCTTTGTATGAAACAGATTTGGGGAACAGCAAGTATGTATTTGTATGCTGGAAGTTAGTGGAATCAGACAGTTTAAGCTGTGAAAGGGTACTATGGGTGAAGTTGTGCTTTTGACTTAGAGTGTATTGATGTGGGTGTGTGCACGGATTGAGACTCTTATGATTGTATTTAGGAGATTCATAATTTGACCGCTCAAATTTATAAATAATACAGTTATACGTAGCATAGACTCGCACCTTTCATCATTTCATCCAATGATGGATGTTTTTTTTGGTTTGGAAAGTTTATATGTTACTAAAGCTTCACAGCACATTAAAGTTCTATGAGTACGTGTGGTTCGCCGAGATCAATAAGAGCTTCATAATGGAAGGTTGAAAGTTCAAAGATACAGTGTAAGGCTACGACTACAATGTGATTCGAGATTTCCTTGTGTTCATTTTATTTTGGCAGTTTCTAATGCTATCTGTGAGGCATGATTCACTGGCCGCAACACATGATTCATTTTTGAAGGAACTCAGACAAAAGAGTCATAAAATACTTCGATTTTTATCATTTTTATGAACAGATTTGGTAGATTGTCTCAAATCCTGCCACGGACTGGGATGAGTGTTATGATCGGTGGGCATTCGTGTTATTGAAAATAGTTGATATTGCTGGCGCTTTGGGATTACTAATAGCTTCTCTTACTTCCGTGGAAACTTCAGAAGTTCTGCATAAGCCGTAGTAATCCCTGGTAGTCAACTGGTATACCTTAGAGTCCTAGATAATCTTTGTTAGTTTTTGTGATTTCTGGTCCTAGCCAATGACTGCCCACAGTTCTTGTCAACCTCTTGTAATTGCTTGTCGTTCTGGACTGTCCTTAGGAGTCCCTTTCAATACATGTGACAGATCTTTTTATCCTTTACCCATAGCTCTTGCTGAAAACGCAAGGCGGGATGCGATATGTCTTTTTGCAGGATGTAATTTTGTTGAAATATTTAATGAGCTAATAAGTGCTGGCAAAGATAGAAATGTTGGAACAAAAACTATCATATTGAAGTTGATAGATATTCTGAAGTTATATGAAAAATTATTTGTTCTCAGCGTTCACATTAAAAAAGATCTATTTTTTATAAGATACACTCTTTGACCGAATTTTATTCATGTATATATCTTTCTCTATCTTTCTTCAGTATCATATGTTACTGAGTCCAACAAAACTATGTAACATATAGTCTTTGCGAGTTTAATCTTCTTAACAAACTTTCACTCAACACTGAAAATAGGCCACAAACTACTTGTCTCTTACTATTTGAAATAATACCACGCCTACGGAAAGTTCTTAAATAGACCTTTTTCGTGCAAGATCTTTATTATACTACTTTTCTCAACAAAATTCAAGTCATTCCAACGACTTCGTTGCATATTGCATTCTTGTTCCCAAGGCGTTTGTTCAGAATTGAAGACCATGTCTAACTAGTACGCGAATTCAAACCAGTTCTGAACAGGTTACTCTCCATTCTATATTTGATCGTCCAAGCTTTCACGAAGAAGACCCAGCATTCATAAAAAAAATTTCCAGGATTCAACGCAAACCCTACTCAGCTATGTGCAAAATAACAAGCTTTCAAACGGTGAAAGGTAATTTCAATCGCAAAATCTTCTTGTACTTAAAAGATGGTTGTCCGTAACGAAACGTCAGAAACCCACAGGAGAATTAAAAACTTTTTGGGAAAGCGATAAGCTAGTATGAGATCTTCTCACACTCTTCTTCTTCGTCATCTTAACTTCTAGCAAATACAAGTGGTCCAATCCGATACAATCACGCATTTCCACCAAAGTTAACATCCATACTTTGTAAACTTAAAATGCCCCAATCCAATACTTTTCGTCAATATTTATAGAAACTTGTTATTTCCCGAAAATACCCGCTCCTTAACCCAAAAATACACTTTCGAATTTTGAGAAACCGATTGAAGATTCGTATTCCTCGACCCCGATTTTCTTTCGTCAACCTTTATAGGAAATCTTTATTTTCCTGAGATATCCCTTCCTTGACCCAAAAATTCACTTCGGCGTTTTGAGAAACTAATGACGGATTCCGATTCCCCGGCCCAGATTTACTTTCGTCAACCTTTACAGAAAACCGTTATTTTCTGAAAAAAGCCGTTTCTTAGCTCAAAAATGCACTTCGAAATTTTGAGAAATCGATCGCAGATTCGGATTCCCCGACCCCGATTTACTTTCTTCAGCCGTTAAAGAAAAGCGTTATTTCTCTGAAATATCCTTCTACTCGAAAGGTCAAAGTCTCCCAATTTCCGTTTCTGCGTAACTAATTATCAGGTAGTTTAAGTTTTAGAGAACTGAAACTTCCTACTCGTATGTATAATAAAGTACTTTAAAATACATGAAGTACTTTAAAGTACATTAAAGTACAATGAAGTACTTTAAAGTACTTTAAAGTACAATGAAGTACTTTAAAGTACGGTGAAGTACATTAAAGTACTTTAAAGTACGGTGAAGTACATCAAAGTACTTTAAAGTACAATAAAGTACATTAAAGTACAATAAAGTACAATAAAGTACATTAAAGTACAAAAGTACTAAAGTACGATGTTTCCCCCTTGGTGTCACATGTCATTACTCAAAATGTATTAATTTGATGGAGTAAGTCTAGTATGACTCAGATAATGTTTATTTTTCTATTCCTGTAGTATTTCTATTACTAACATTATCTGAAACCGATGATTATTAATGAGTCACCTTTACAATGACATCATTTGCTTTACTAAGCAACGCTTTTTGTACAAACAACTCCTGATAATATTTTCCATGTATTGTAAGTACTCCAATTCTAATTAGAATAATGTAAAAATGCTAAAGATTTATCTCGTTTCCAAAATGAATTAATAAGTTTCGGCGTGTGTGCGTGTGTTTTTCATCTAAATTGAAAGTTTTCATTCCTAAATTTTCAATAATTAGTAACTCTCTTTTGATTTATAAATCATACGTAATAAATCATTATAGTTTCATATGGAAAAAAAAGAAAGGTTCTTTTCTAAAGACAATCAATAGAATATTAATTAGATATCTAGGTAAAATAATTTCATACTTACCAACCATCCATCCAAACTCGAACATTTTGTTCAGGTTTTGTTGCACTTGTATTTGATGTACTCATATTTTATTGCTGTTAAGATATAAAACAAACAAGTACACAAGCCTATATATAATATTGTCAATTTATTATTCATTCGTCAAATACTATGCCATAAAAATAAAATTAAAATAGATGTCGTTATTTTAATTTATTAAACTTTCATGGATTGGTTTATATATGAACAGGAGGGGAGGGAGGCTACGATGTATTTGATTCATTATATTGGTTGTAATCCGTTGAACAAGTTTAAAAAAAAAAATTTCTTTTAATCTTTAAGATGCCATTCATTTCATTCCGGTGAAAAAAAAAATGTTATCATCGAAACTACGTGAACGATCTTTATGTCTTATAAATTTCGATAATCTTGATTCAACATTTCAACCATGGCTAACAATTTCAGATGCTAAATTTCATCCTGATGTTTGGTATATTATCATCTATAAACAATTATTTTGTATATTTTAAAAATTCTATTTATATTCTAGTACACTTTATTGTCAATCTAATATAAATCCCATTCAATCAATTCAAACAAATTATTTACCACCATTTATATCCTATTTATGGCCATTAATATATCATGGTGCTAATGTTTGGGCTGTTGATCATCCAACAACACGAGAAATAACAAGAGTAAAATTTGTTTTAAAATATGATTTATTAATATGGAATATTTTCTATCGTTCAACAAATATTAATTCATCATTAAATTCAAATATTGTTTATCCAAAAGTATTAATTCTTGCACCCGATTGGTTTACTTGTGAAAATACATATAAACATTTATCTAATGTTAATACAGATATATTAAAAAAAATAATAATATGTTGTATTTATGAAGGACGAAATATTGAAAATGAATTATATAAAAAATTTTTAACACAAGGTTGTGATCTTTTAATAGCTACACCAACTATTGTTAATGATTTAATACAAAAACGTTATATACATTTTGAACGACTTGAAATGATTGTTGTAAGTTTCTAGTCAATCGTAGGAATATTGATTGTTTAATTAGAACACATTTAAATGATTGTGTTGGAGATTGACATTAATGAAACACTATTATCCTTAGATAGGAACTAAATTTCTAGGAGAAAAGATCGCTTTTTTTTTCTCGCTATATCGATCTCATTGACGAAAAAAACGAACACTATTTGCAGTTAAGTTGAGAAAAAAAAGTATATCATAATGGTAATGAGTGCTAGATGGGTTTTAACTGGCCTTTGTCTTTCCAAGTCAGTTTTTAACTGACGCGAGGGAACCATTCGAATTGAAACTCTTCGTTTAAACTCATATTGGGCTAATACGGAGGTCTTGGTAAGACTAGAAAAGATCTGAAAGGATTCTTATGGATCTTTGGAGTCGAGTAAGGATTGTTTTATTGAATTTTCGACTTGAAATTTTGCCCAATACATAGGTCGAGTGATCCACAGAATATCCTAAAAGTTTCAACCGAAAAGAATAGTTCTTTGTTGAGTTTACTATAAAATTCAATATTTCGACAGAAGAAATATCCCATGAATTGTTAGAGCTATCTATGGGTAAAATTTTACGTCCAAATTCTTTTTTTTTTTTGGTATATATTTAAAGCTGGTTCGAAAATTCAGTAACATGATCATAGCTAGACTTCAAAAATTCATAGAGACAAACGCTTTTAGAGTTTTTTAATGCCTTATCAAGGTATCCTTGTACATCCAAGATGAACTCATATGACGGATATTAGTTTAGGTGGTTCTCACGGATACTTCTAATTTTGTTAAAATGAATAAACTGAAATGTGCCGCTAATTTAAAGCTAAACACTGAATTGACGCCCTCAATGTCTATTAGAACCAGCTCCAAATGGTTCATGCTGATATTAAGATTTGACTTTTACAGTGGATTTTCCTTGTATGGACCCAATTTTTCAATAAAACCCTATGGTTGAGATTTGGTCTGAAAGCTTTGCCTAGATGAAGATGTCAGTGACATTAGCTTATATTCAGTATAATATCGATTCAAAAGCTTTTAATCATCTAGAGATCTTTCCTTGTAAGTTCAATGTAACTAAAAGAAAAACTTTATTGAATTTTAAATTTATTTAAATCATAATCTTCTATTATTTTTATTTTTATTAGTATGATCAATTTGATCTTCTTCTTCAAACAATTGAATCAATAAATGAAATATTAAATCTTATTCAATTACATAAAAATAAAATTACATCTATTCAACATTTTTTTCTATCTCGTATTGTAAATCAACAAACAAAAAATTTTATTTATGAACATTTTTCATCAAATAAAAATTATTATTATCTTTCATCATCTATGATGGAAACACATACATATAAAAATTTTTTTGTCTATTGTGAACCATGTCGAAATTGGACTGATCGTAAATATATTATTAAAGAAACATTAGATTTAGCAATACATTGTCAAAAAAAAATTGTTATGTGTGCACATCAAATACGTCGTTTAGCAACAATGCAAAGTATACTTAATGATTTATCAATACAATCAATATTAATACATTCACAATTAACTAATGATGAAATTCAACAATATATATATGAATGGCAAACAATAAATGATCGTTTATTAATATTATTAATTCAAGATGATATATTAAATGATATTACAATTGATAATACAGATATAATTATACATCTTGATATTCAACGTTTTATATGGTATCAATTATATAATCAACGTATGAAATTAATACATAAACATTTATTAAATAATAATATTAATATGAATAATAAAATTAAAAAAATTGAATTAACATCAATAAAATTAATTGAAAAATTTTATCAATTAAATACATTAATAAATATACCATTAATTGTTATATTATGGCCAGGTGATTGTGCACAAGTAACATATGATTTAATTGATTATATAAATAATTCAAATAATTATTTACATCCATTAATTGAACGTTTAGCTAAAAATAATTGTTATGAATCATTACAAGCTAAAATTAATGTTGAATTATGTCCAACATTAAAAATGTTTGGACAATGTTTAAATGAAAAAATTTTAAAACGTTGTCCATATAGACATCATTTTCATTATGATGTTGATTATATTGAACAACAAGATAAAAAAAATGAAAATTTTTTAACTGATTCATATGAATTATGTTTACCTAATAAAGGTGAAATTGAATTACGTATAACACATGTTAGTGATGGTAATCGTTTATGGGCAAATATATTACGTACAAGAAATGATATTAATCAAACATTAATTAAAATATTTGATTATGATTTATTTTATAAACAAATTGAAAATGGTTTTAATTATGTTAAAAATCAACCATTAAGTGAAATAACACCCGGTGAAATTTATTTTTATATTGATAATTATAATAAAATACATCGAGTTTATGTATATGAACAAGAACATACTTATTTTGATATAAGAAGAGCTGATTCAATTTTAAATAGATTATTAAAAGTATCAAATACTATAATAAATAAAGAAAATATACAAGATACAAATAAATCAACTATTAATGAAAAAAAGTAATTTTTAATTTATTAATTAAATAGACGATAAGAATTAAGTTTTTTTTTTTTAAAGATTAAAACTATTTTTTCATCGTTAGAGAAAATTTTATTCTGTATATTTTTATTAGTAGATTCATTGTTTATTGTCATCCCGGGATTGTAAGACCTATACATTAGACGAAATTATCAACCGTATGACTTTATTATTTAATAAATTTTTTAAAAAAGTCAAGGCAACCTCTCATATCTTTAGGTACCAGGTTATTTTCTTAATATCGTATCATAAATAGAGAAAAGACTAGAAGATTGAATTCATTCAATTTATTCAAGGAAGATTTCATAAAACTGTCAACAACTTAAACACTACTAAACGAATAACTTGCTGCAGTGCAAAGTGACACATCAGTAAATTCATCCATTTGATTTATAGTTAAAAGAGTTTATTAAATTATTTAAAGATTCTACAAAAGAAAATTCACGAAGGAACATTCTCAACTGTCATATACATTTTTCGTTTGAGACTATTGTATTCAATCAGTGACGATGAATAGTAAAAAAAGTTTTGCTTCGATTTGGTTTTTCGGTCTTCGTTTGTTGAATTATAAACAATTTACTCGATTTTTGTCCTTTGAACATAGGATCTCTGAGAATCTGAATGATTGAATTTCGAGCTGAAATTTTATCCACAGATCTATAGAAACACTTCAAAGTTTGAGTTTGGAGACACGTATTTGTATGAAGATATGCGTTTGTGGGTGTGGTACCCATACCCTAGCTCAATAATCAAAGACTAGAAAACCAAATCAAAGGAGGTTCGTTTTTTTGCAACTCATCATGACCGATCAAATAGCAATAGTCTTAAACAAGAAAGAAGTTTTTGCAAAAAAATTTTTTTTAAATTTTTAATCTTTATTTAGTTCATCTCTTACAACAGTCGATCATCCTACATTAGTTGTTTTCAGTCTTGATACTGGTATAACATTTACATTAAAATCTAATGAATATCTCTATCCTATTGAACCATCATCATTAAAACAATATCCACCATTAGCAACTGAAATAATCTTATGTAATATATGTCCATTAGATAAAATAACAATGACATTTACACCATTTACAATTGAAACTGTTCGTTCATTAACATTAAATGAAATATTTATGGGACGAATTAAATTAGCAACACGTTCATGTTTTTGGATTGATCCACTTGTTAAACCAGTTCGTTTAGCTGCACTTAAACGTGTTGCATATGATAAACCAATACGTAAACAATTGATTTTATCTAAACTTGTTCAATCAAATGATAATCATATGAATTTACTTGAACGTATGGCTATGACAGCTAAACTTAATGAATTAACAATATCTAATCAAGAAAAAGAAGATGAAATCAATGAACAATCAAAATTCATAATAAAATCTAATGAACAAGATATAATTAAAGAAGAGATCAATAAACAATCAAAATCAATAATAAAATCTAATGAGCAAGATATAATTAAAGAAGAGATCAATGAACAATCAAAATCAATAATAAAATCTAATGAACAATCACAATCAATAATAAAATCTAATGAACAAGATATAGTCAAAGAAGAAATTATTGAAGATTTTTTACCTGTGTTTAAACCATTTTGTAATCGTAGTGGACAACTTATTATTAATCCTGTTGGTCGATCAAAACAATTTTTTATAAAACATAATCAAGAATTACAAAATTTTGATTTTGTTAAAAGAATTTCTTCAGAAATTAATGATATACAGTCAAGTATAGAAAACAATAATACTATTAATCGATATATTCCACTTGGTCGTGGACATAAAATACATACAGAATCATCATCATCTTCAGTAAAAAATATTCTTCTTTCACCACCACCATCAATATCAAATATTGGTGATTTTCAACATTCCGATGAATATTCACCATTTCAAACATTAGTAAATATTCAACAGTCATCAATTGATTCAAATGTAACAACACCATCAGAAGTTGAACCAAGTAAAATGATACAATGTGAAACAAAAACTGAACAAATTGAAGAACAAGAAGAAGATGAAATATTTGAGGTAATTTATCAATTAATCGAAATTGAATTATTTGACGAGAAAACATCGTCAGTTGATACTCTCCGTTTAGAAGAATATCGTTACCTTGCAGTATATAGTACTGCTTAGCAGTAGATCGTAGTGACTTGCACAGGGTCATTTCATGGCTGGTGGTATTGAATTTTGTACATAGCACCTTGTGGATACCTGTCGAACAACTCAGCTATCCCTCCGATTGAACTCCTAGAATAGAGAAAAATCTTAAAAATATTTATTCCAGAGAAACAAATATAACAAGTTTTTCTAAAAATAATATTACTTTATTTTCTATTAATAAACATTTCCACGAGCTAATTTTTTTAACATTCATATTGTGGGTGTAGGGGTGACGAGAAGAATGTAACATCCTACACTTTTCATTTAGAAAGAAAAAGAGCGCAATAGAGAACATATGTGATTCATACAGAAAGAAAACGAACGTACCGGAGCATAAAAATGTAATTAAGATATGTCTCGTGGATAAGAAATGTTTATTTCTATAATACTCAATTGTATTTTATTGTGTTATTTTGCATATCTATTATGCCTAGTCAGTGCCTGGATGAAATAGAAACAGAAAAGTTTTAAAGAAACTTGTTTTGTAACAATTCTTTACTCAAGTTAAATTTGAATGAAGCTATTTCACTGTAAAGATCCAGAATGAACTATAAATGACTTATTTGTCTTGAATGACATAAAAATTGAATAGATTGTAGTTAAATCTTTCATTTTTAGGATTATGTCACAATCGTTAGTCTTTATTTTCTTGTTATATTATAGAATAATTAGTTCTGACATCAATTCGAAATCATCCATTCCTATGATAAAAAGTTCTCGTCTTGAAAAAATGCCATATTAGAATCAGCAGATTTCTATGTTTTATCACTAAGAAGTTATTGAAAATAGTTATAGAATGTTTTTTTTTCCATCAGCTATTAATCCTAAGAAAAAATTTATCAGAAAGATCATATTATTTATGAGATTATCTTGAAAACAAAGTAACTCTTAGGCAATCATGTTTCATTTTATTCATTTTTGAATAATCACCGTTGTGTCCCATTTATAAATCTAACTCACGAAGTTTAATATTTTTTACGAATTTGAAGACTCTACACAATATTTGAAAAGTGTCTCGATCCGATAGTTTCTATGGATGAGTTAAAAAAATTATCGAATGAAAATCTTTCGATTGAGTTAAAATTTTTCGTTATATCCTGCTAGAGAAAAATATGATTTTCTTCAAGTTGAACTAGTTATATTTCTCTTGTTAGAACAATGCTGCATATATTATATTTGATTGAATCTTATTTCAACTTTCTTTTAATAATAATTCTCAATGATTAATATATTGCCATTTAACAGATCTAATTCAGTACTATTTTACGCACGTCAGGGATCACTAATTTTGACATTTGTAAGTAATGTTCGATTCTAAGCACAAAAAAAAAAGAGTTAAGCTAATAGAAATATTCTCTATATTTCTGTAATTTACTTGGTTTTTATCATTTTAATTACTAAAATTGATTATCAAAACGATTCTTTATTTTTTTAACGAATAAAATTTATAAAAAAAAAATCAATTATGATTTTTTTTTAAAAGGATACTACTGATACAATTCCTAATCCAGAATCATCAATACCAACAACAACAACAACTATTAAATCATTAGAATTAGAACAAGAAACAATTGATGATAATGATCAAATGATGTTTATCTTTGGACCAAAATTATTTTCTCAACTTCGTCAAATCAAAGATATGGAAGATGAACAACGTCGTCAAGCAGATTTTCCTGTTCAACGTAATCGTAATCGTCATATGCGTAATAATAATAATAATAATTTGAAATCAAACAATCAAGATAATAATAATAATAATGATGATATAAACAATGAAGTAAATGAACAAAAAATTCCTGTACCAAATATGAGTCGTTATGAACCATTTATTGATGAACGTGGTCCATTAACACAAGAACAAATTGATTATAAACAAACACAACGTAAAACACGTCTTTTTTGGGAACAAACATCACGAGATATTTATTTAACAATTGGTTTTTATAATGTTGATTCGACACAAACACGTGTCGAATTTGAAAAAAATTCAATTTATTGTCGAACAAAAATTCGTACATATGATCGTTTTGTACGAATATATTTAGCTTATGATATTATACCAGAAAAATGTTTATTTCAAGTACGTCGTTCAAATATATTATTAACAATACGTAAAGCTAATGAAGGTTTTATGTGGACAACATTAACAAATCGACCAATTGAACCACGACCAGATTTTTTTATTATTGATTATGGTTCAGATGATGAATCTGATACAGAAAAACGTCGTCGAACTGTTAATCAACAATGGGAACAAATACGTGATGATAAACGTCAATTAAAATTAAATGATGATAATAAATATCTTATTGATGATATTGATGATGATGATCATCAACAACAACAACAACAACAACAACAAAACGATAAATTAAATAATATTGATGATGATAATAATAATAATCAACAAGAATTAACTGATACATCATCCGGTTGTCATTCAACTGATTCAGATGATTGTTATTATGAAGATCAAGTACCAGCTAGTCATATACCACAAGGTTATGATGAAGCTGATTATGATCATCGTTTTTATGGACAACAAATACGTTCTTAAAATTTTCAGTCAGATATTAATTGTTATTGTAGTTGTTGTTTTTTTTTTGTTATAGAGAAAAGATAATATATATTCATGTCTTTCAAGATATATTGGTTTGTTTTTTTTTTTGTTTTTCTTTTTATTTGTAGATAATGCCTATCGAAGATTTATCTGATGAAGGTCTTCCTAAAGTACCAAATCTTGATTTAGCACAAATAAAATTTTTATTAACTATTAAATCAAATGATTTAATATTAAAAGAAAAACTTTTAAATGAAATTAAACAAAATAATATGACACCATTTTATAATGAATGTATAAAAGATGGTCAATTATCATGTGATGATAAACTTCTTCAAACAATGAAGAAAATTAATGAAGAAAAACTTAAAGAATTCGATGAAAAAATTGAAGAAACAGAAAAAATATTTGGTGAAAGTGAAATACGTGAAAGTTATTTAGCTAAAACACAATATTTATGTACAATTATTGATCGTGAACAAGCATTAATATGGTTAAGAAAAACTTATGATAAAACTGTTACATTAGGACATCGTCTTGATTTAATTTTTTATCAATTACGTTTAGGTTTATTTTATATGGATCAAGATTTAATTGAAAGAAATTTAGATAAAGCTAAAACATTAGTTGATGAAGGTGGTGATTGGGATAGACGTAATCGTATGAAAGTTTATCAAGGTTTACGTGCTATGTCAATTCGAGATTTTAAATCAGCTGCTGAATTATTTCTTGATACAGTTGCAACATTTACATCTTATGAATTAATGGATTATCAAACATTTGTTACATATACAGTTATTTGTTCACTTGTTGCACTTGAACGACCAAAATTACGAGAAAAAGGTATTGTTGTTTGATGTTTTTTTTCCTTAATTCTTAATTTAATAAATATATTCATTTTTTATATCTATTGAATAAAATATTCATCAAAGTCTAAAAATAAATTATTAATCATTCTGATATTCTTTTTTTATATGTATAATTATTTTCATTCAAATTACTTATTACTTCTATAAGAGAAAGAAAACGAACATTTAATTAACAAATCAATATAGAAACTTCGAATTTATTTCCCAAATTTGTTTTTTTTTTTATTTTAGTTATTCGTGGTAGTGAAATTCTTGAAATTTTACATGGACTTCCATTAATTAAAGAATATTTATTTTCACTTTATGAATGTCGTTATGCAGATTTTTTTCGGTGTTTAGCAATAATTGAAAAAGATTTACTTAGTAAAGATCGATATTTAATATCACATACAACATATTATGTACGTGAAATGCGTATTATAGCATATAATCAATTATTACAATCATATTCATCATTAACACTTAAAGGTATGGCACAAACATTTGGTTGTTCAGATGGATTTCTTGATAAAGAATTATCACGTTTCATTGCAAGTGGTAGACTTAATTGTAAAATTGATAAAGTACGTGGAATTATTGAAACAACAAGACCAGATTCAAAGAATTTTCTTTATCAAGAAGTAATTAAAAAAGGTGACTTGTTACTCAATCGTGTGCAAAAATTAAGTCGTGTGATCAATATCTGACTCAATGAACTGAATAGAGATAATTTAGATAAAACATGTTTACCTCGGTTTTTTTTTGTATATGTATGTTTCTAAGAAATGTGAATAAACACAAGAGAAAAACAATTCCAAATTAATAGAGCATGAATAGATTCTATCTTTTACTTTTTCTAATGGTAAAACAAGATGAAAATAATAAATGGTTGTACTTCATGTTATTATAATTCAAGGAACACATTTGATCTATAAAATATGATTCCTTTTAATATCATTTATACTCATATTTTTAGCATATATATATAAACTGTTATCAATATGTGATAAGACTAACAGACATATAAACAAATTGATATATAATCATGGATTTTTTATCGGTTGTTTCATTCATTTCTTTGTAAGTTTTTGTTTTCATGTATAATTGATTCACATACGTCATTCATATATATATATATATATACATATATACATGTATGTGTGTCTGTGTTATATTGCAGTCATTATTGTCGGTTGTTTTTACAACAACAAAAAAAAGGAAAAAAAAGACGAGAAAAGAAGAAAAAAAAGGAAGTTCTTTTTTTATAATCCAGGCAATATAATTCACAAGGAAAACGATATTTTACGTCTTTATTTATTTCTCATGTCCTGTTGTTTCACCGTTTGAAACAAAAGTTGATGTCATGTGAGAATGATCAATTTTTCTTTTTTTTTTTTTTTTTTCGTTAAGTAAAAAGTTATTTGATTCCCATAATTGTCATTAATACTTGATCAAGATCAGATTACGAGATGAAAATTTTTCTTCTTCTCAGATTTTACATTTTGATAAATTATAATAATTATAATAACAATTTATCTTCTCTTAAGTTTTAGTAAGTAAAAACTAAATATAATAATCTATTTCTAGATATTCTTATCTTGTTTCCTTTTACGACAAGCTCGATTGCATAAATATTTATTTGTTTTTTTTTTCTTGTATTACTTCACAAACAAACGTCAAACACGATTAAAAAGAAAAACTCGATAAACCTATTGTTCTTTAGTTTTGTTGACTATCATAAATTGATTTCTCGATGAAGTTCTCTATGTAAAAAAAAAAAAAAAATAAGAAACAGAGAGAATAAGAAGAAAGAAAAACTGCGCATGAGAATAAGATGTCATTTACAATGGAACGATATTTGCCCTTTCTACCACCTTCATTATCAAAACATGAGTGACAAGCACTACCCTTTCGTTTTTTTTTTCATATTGTTAATCAAATATAGAAGACTAGATGTATTGGCATTTTCTAAGTCTTTTCCGTCGATATATATTCGGATAGGAAAAGAAAAAAAAAATGATTGAGTCTTATTATAATTAAACATGTCGGAGCTTTTTTATCTCAACGGTTTTTGACAGTCTTTTTTTGTTTTTCTTTTTTTTTATTAAAATCCTATTTATATAATGAAGAAACAATTGGTGTAACCTAAATACTTTTTCTTTTTTATCATTCTTCGGCTGTCAGTTAGAATTTTCTTATAATAATTAATGAAGCACAAGCAAATTCAATTGTTCAACCAATGCGTTAAAACATATATTTTGAATTGTAATATGACAATATGTTTCTTATTGTCAATATTGAGAAGTAACTTTTATGGTAAGTATCTTTTTTTAATGTATATATCGATGATAAAAGTCAAGATAGGAAAAAACAGCTGATAGAAATGTGAGGAAAATATTGTCAAGGTTCATCATGACGTCGATTGCTAAAGCATTATCAATAAACGGAAGAAAGAGGAATCATCTATGACGTCAATATGTGTCAACTATACTGTTAGTCAATGTCAACAACGATCATTTCACTATTATTACGTAAGTTATCTGTTGACAAAAAAAAAATTTTTCTAGCGCTCTTCCTACACTTCTTATCTATCTTAGCCAAAGAAGCATTCTTATACTGATATGTATATATATAATATATATATATATGAGACTATTATCTTTCTAGAAAAGATAAAGGAATTTACTATGACCGAATTAGCAAAGATATTGAGTATACATAAAACAGATCATTATTATTTCCGTTTTAAGCTTTTCTAGAGATATTTGTCTAATGATGTCAGACGATTTATTCAATCTAAGTATTTCCTCTTGGTATGATCAGATTGCATTTAGCTTTTGTGTATATGCGCATTTTTTTTTCAATCATATTTTTCTTATAGTATAGTCTTGATTAGTAAGGAGAGATTTATCATGCGAACGATGAATACTTGAGTAGAAGAAAATTGTTTTCTTATTTTCTATTTCCGTTCTTAACTACACGAATCTATCATCAGTATACTTCTATTTGACGTCATGGTCGAGATGAAGAAAAATTCTCAAAAGCAATCATCAATTTAAAGTAAAAAATAAAACGTTTTCTTCTGCTAGAAATATATATATATGTATTATGGAACTGATTGTTGAACTACTTGCCGACGGGCAATCGAACGATCGGCAATATATATATATAATCAAAAATGAAAATTGAACGAGAATAATCAATCGACCGATAGTGCCGCTTATACTCTACTTACTGTTGTTACTCATTTTTATTTCCGGTAACGTGTTCAAGAAGATAGAGATCTAGGCCTTAAAAATACCAAGTGCTCTTTAAGATTATATTAAGAGAAATATATATAGGATAAAAATAACATTTATTCGAGAGGTTCATTTTCTTTTTTTTCTTATGTTGAAAATGTAGAAGATAAAAACGAAGAATAATTCCAATTATTTCATATTTAGTCTTTCCAGGTCAAAGTCAAGAGATTGAATTATCTTGTACTGTTGACATTCTTCAATCCTATCACGTTTTTTTCTTCTCATTATTGTTTGCCTTGTTCGCGTGTCATCCACTGTTGAAGACGCTTTTCAAAACGCACAAAAAAAAAGACGCGACAGTAAAGAATCATTGTTGTTTCTTTTTTTTTTCTTATTGTGTATGCGCATATGTGAAGCTTGCGCATGCTATTCTTGTCCTCGGACTTTTTTTCTTCATCGTGTAGTCGCTATGCCTCTCTCTACTTCACATACCGCAATAAGAACAGCTGTAGACATACAACCACACATGAAGTAAACGGATGATTAGAGTTCGAACTTTATAGGGCAAGGTAGTAGGAAGCAAAGACAAGTTATACTTGGCAAGAAGGTAAGCATGAATAGAGAAATGTATTTAATTTCACCTCAAGATGTCTAAAGTCTATTATAAACCTGATATATTTTAACGAGAATGTTTAAATTGGAGAAAAAAGAAAATTAAATTATACGATAAGAAAAAAAGTATAGTAAACATTATATTGGGAAAGAAAATCTCTATAAATACTCTTTCATTATTTGTCAAAATCAACAAGCAGAAAAGAAAGGAAGAAGGAAGAAAGGAAAAAGGAATAATTCCACTATTAATAGTGAGTATGTGTATATGACCGAAGAATTTTCATTTCAGTTTATGTTATGTATACGTTTATTAATATTATAGTTGCAATTCGCATGTGTTGATAATAAGCAAGCAAAAAAAAAAGAGTGAGACATGCACGCATACACACCTTATTTCATTGATATGATGAGTTTAAAGTAAGTTCAAATCAAGAATTGATATGATCAATTATTTCAAGTATTTTTACTTGATAACTCATTGATTTATCCTTGAAAATATCTATTGGTTCTTTTTTTTTTTTTCATATGTAGTTTTAGTCAAGGAAGAATTTATTGACAAACATTTTTTCTTATGCAAAATATTTTTCTTTTCATATTTGTATATATACGAAAATAGTTTTTTACATAGAGTACAGAAAAAAAAAAAAGAAATGACTAAAATAGTGTATAATTTAAAAATAAAATTTTCATGTCATTAACTTTTATTATAATGAATCATATGAAAAACAAACGATCATTTTTTCATTAGTGTTAGTCAGCTATCTTTTGTATATATTCGTTTCTAAACATACTATGACTATTTGTTTTCGTATTGCTGTTGTGACGACAATGGTGAACTAGATAGAAGGAAAAAAAAAGGAAAGAATGGAAGAGAAAAACAATGACGTCAATTATGCTTGTCTTGAACTATTCGTCGTATTGTCTTGCTTTTCTTTCTTTCTTTTCGTCGTCGTTTTCTTCACCGGTCATTTGTTTATATATTCGTTGTTACCCGTTTTTTTTTCCCTTCGTTTTCATGACTATTCTTCCGGATCATTCATGACTATCAGGTACTATTAAGCTTGATAAAACGACCTTTGCGACATTTATACTGTAAGTTCTGGTTTAATGAAGCGAGGAAAATCTGGGTGTATTTTTATTTTCTTTTTATGCTATGTTCTTTTTCACTTATAAAGATATTTGTTTGTATGTGTGATACAGGAAAAAAAAATTAATCATTTCTATGTGATAATCGACAGGAAAATGGGAGGAGAGAAAAGAAAGAAAAAAAAACAGATGAATGTGTGTTCTTCTCGTCAATTAAGCGTTAGATTAATAAACAACAGTCATAAGACGAATACGAGTAGGATAAACGGTTCTTTATTTTTCAACCCCTTGTCAAGGTAAATTAACGTATGTAATTATTAGAGCGGCTTTGCGGATGGTTGACTACTTTGATCTAATATGTTATATTTGTTTTAATTGTACTTTATTAGTCGATGTTATTCGGAAAAGAAACAATACGAAATATATTTTTATATGATTTTTTTTTTCTTGTTTATTCCATGTGCATATGTATCATTTTTTTCATTCAATTATTTGTATTACAATAGTACTTGTTTATTATATAGAACAAACAGATTTCATTTAGTTAAAAAGACGTTGATATTATCCAAGGATTTTTATTTATGTATATATTTTTTAGCCTGACCGGCTGTTACCGTCAGTACAGAAAGCAAAAAAACGAAAAAAAAGAAAAAAAACTCACATGTTTTTTCAGCGAGACCGATTCGCTACCCTGCTATATCAACCTGATGATATGCCGTATGATTGACACGTACAAAAAAATTATCAAACGTAAAAAAACATTCTCGTAT